AGTACTGGATTGATCTTTTTGAAATTTCATATGTACTTTCAGCACCTATTCAGGTGAGCGATACAAGCCCTCTGGGCCTCTTGTTTTCATGGAAATTCATGTTAAAGATCAGTATATTACATTGAATGTCATAGAATTTATTGTCAAAATAATATACAAACAAATATACATACATATAAACATAACTTACACATTATTTCATAATTTGTTTAAATGGTATCACAGTTTGAAATTTACTTATTGCATACACATTCAATACCAAGTGTTAATATCAGTGGCATTGTTTTCCGAAAAATGGAAGTTTGGCACATGGGTTTTCTGGTGCTACTTCAGAGTCTGTTAATCCCTTCAACACTATAGTTATATTCCTATCCTTGGCCATTTCCGTCAAGGTTTCTATCCCTTCCCGGGACACTTTGTGGTCATAAATATCCAAGTGGTCAAGATTAGGACAATTCCTCACTAGGTCTATGATAGCACTTTCTGATATATTTCTTATCCACGAAAGGTTGAGCTCTTTTAAATGTTTGCTGTTACGACACAAAGCCTTCATCGATCGGTCTGTTAAATGCTTACAGGCACACAGGTTTACAGACTCCAAATGGGGAAGTTTCTGAAATGAAAAAAAAAAGATATGTTGAGTTTTAATTCAAAACAAATCAAAACAAATGTTTTAAGACGTGTAAAAGCATTAGCGCTAGACTTTTTAATGCCTGGGTCATAAGCAGGTAGATATTTTAATGATATATCTGATCAGTATCAAATTCCAGCTTCATGCTTGTGTAAATTTTTCTCTCGTAAATGAGTTGTAGTTCAAATGGTAGAGTGATGGGCAAGAAAGGTGGGGTTACTGATTCAATCAATAGTGGAAGCACAGTACTTGTACACAGGTAATCAGTATGTAGTAACGCAAGACATTCATTTTCTATTTAAACTGAAGGAAGTCCCCTGTAATTTCTTTGCTTGAAACTGATACGGTTAAAATGTGAACACAAACAGTTTAAATATTCCATCGAAATACTTTTTTTTTAATATCTAATGAATTTTACAACTTCAAAATAAATCTAAACTATTTTCTTTTTTAAATAGGTTGACGTGTATTAATTAATCAAATTATAGCAAGACTATGGCTTGATTCGGGTATCCAGGTTGAAAC